GTTTTCACATATCTATGTCACATTGCCCTAAAATGCTTAGAAAACTATTGCTTATAAAAAAGTTCTTCCTTTATTTCTCTTTGAATATCCTTGAGTGAGCTTTCCTGTGTTATAAAAATCTGTGTTCAGTATAGAAAATTGGAAAGTGAAGTAAGATAGATGCCAGGGGCAAGAATGGCCTTTCGATAGAGAAGTCATATCAGAGAAAGTCTGTTGTGGTTAAGAGTGTCTGGATTTGCATGAATGGTGCCTGGTTGTTCTCCATTTCTCTTCACCTGTTCCTCACGCTGTTTTGTTTATAAAGAACATCTCCTGTCACCAGGATGGAAATGGAATCTGCATTGGACATGATGGAGTTGTACAGCAGATTGCTGTGTGCTCAAGTGAGCACGTATAGGCTTGGCAAGCGGAAGCTTCATGGTGGTTCATTGTGAGCTCAAGGCATGATTGTATTTAATGTCAAAAACCAAAAACAACACTAACTAGACCTATTTTGATACAAGTTACGCATTGGCAGGATCTTGAGAATATCTTTATTAGCTGGTAGCTAAGATAGGGCTTATGCCCAGATTGTTTTATTGAAATAAGGAATTATACGGAAAATTCCCCAGTGTAATTTCTCAGAATCAAACTTAAAGCCATCATTTTGCTGCTATTAGCATTTCTAACTCTGACATCCTAAAAGCCTGTGATCTCTCCTTGTTACTGAGAAAAAGGTAGGTGGAATAGAAGTGATTTGGGTCAGTTTTGAGGTCTACTCTGTAGAGTCAGAATGAACTCGGAATTGTTGGGATCAGCCTATGCTGTTTCTTCAGTCAACAAGGACTTTTCCTGAGTTCCTTCTGTACAGCACACACTAAACCACGGAGTGTGCAGTTATAGAGATTAATTGTTGCTCTTAAGAGCTATCATCTAGAAATTGAAATATGAAGCCCAGGACTTAAAATCCAATTGCAAGTTAAAACTGAGAAGAGTTATAATCATGTGTTTCTATTCTCTTCAATGGGAGACTAAAAGGGAAGTAGGACACAAGGCAGAAGACACAATATTGTCCTTATTCAGAAACAAACAAGTGTGATGATCAAGATCATGAACCTGCAACCGAACATACCTGATCTTAAACGTAGGTTCCACCAGTGCACTGCCTGTGTGACCTTGGATAACACTATCCCTTGAACCTCCATTAGCTCTTCTGGGAAATGAGAAGAATAGAGTCGTTACTTGTACTCGTTCCCTGGTGCTGCTGGAACAAAGTGCCACAAACTTGAGGCTTAAAATGACCGAAATGTGTGCTCTCTCAGTTCTGGAGACCAGAAGTCCGAAATCAAGGTGTAGCAGGCCATGCTCCCTCCGAAGGCTCAAGGGAGAATCTTTCTGCGTTCAGCTCCTAGTGCTGGCTTGTGACAGCATAACTCCAACCTCTGCCTCCATCTTTATGTGGCTTTTCTCTGCATGGCCTTCTGTCTCTTACAAGGAAGGCACCCCCTAATACAGTACGATCTCCTCTTGACATTATGTCTACAAAGACTCTTTCCAAATAAGGTCACATCCTGAGGTTCAAGATGGATGTAAGTTTGGGAGGACACTATTCAACGCACTACACTACCTCCTAGGATTGGTGTGGGAGTTAATGCACAGTGCGTGGAAAGGGTTCAGCACAGCACCTACCACAGAGCCACGCTCAATAAACGTTAGCTGTGTACATGATGTATATGGGTGTGTATAAATATATGTAATTTGTTTT